ACTACTGAGCAGCTGTTTTTGTTGCTTTATAGCGAAAGCCAGAACACTTAGTTTTCCCCAGAGGAGAATGAGGACAAGGAAGAACAGGAGGAAGAGGAGGAGGAGGAATGAATGGACTGAAATGGAGTTTGAGGTATGGATCAGTAGCATTTTGTCATCACTCTTCCCTCAAGGTAAATGTAATGAAAATAAAATATGTGCCATGATCCATAGTTAAATGCTTTGATAAGTCACTGTCTATCTTTTGTGATGCTCCACATTTCATTTATTTTTATTTTGAGAAAAGGACCAAAGCCTTTATGCAATGGTATTATCACCTCCTCGGTGCCCACTGCTACACCCTTTATAGAAATAATCCTAATAGCCCTCTCCTCTGTTTTTCCTTATTTCCCCTGACCCCTCCCTTTCCATTCATTTGGACAGTCCCCTATTCCAAGTTACTTCCACCACAACAGAGACAGCTAAACACACCCTCTTCCCACTCTCAACCTACACATACTCATACACACCCTGAGGGTCAACCCAATAGGTCCATTGCATGTGAGTCATAGCTTTCTCAACTCGCCACCTCAACATGTTTCTTCACCCAGCCTCAGGGGCTAGAACCTGGGCACCGCTCTCTTTGTCTCCTTTGTCCAGTCCAGATAACCTTATGTGTTGGACATGGCAAAGGGAAACCCGCAAATGATAAGTGTGTTTACCATCACTGAGAAGACAATGGGCAGCTCGCCTGCTTCTAGCATCATCTCAGTGTTTCATTCTGAGCCAAAGTGATGTTGAAGTGCTGGCCTCAAGGTAGGCCGAGGCTAACTAGAGTTTGAATGTATCACACCTTTGAGACTTGTAGTGAAGTTAAACACTGAAAGCCATGAAGAAAATGCAGGACACAGCACTGTGCTTGTCTTGTTCTTCATGTCTCAATAACAAGGGAAAAGTGTCATTCTCATATTCATTGAGTGTGAAAATCATATTCAGTGCTGCTTCAAACCCTTTTTATGTTTTCAAAGTGTATTTTGCCCTTCAAGTGGATTATGCACGGGGAGGATATATTATGTTTTCCTATGCTATTGATTCCACGTCTCTGCCCACTCAAGCCTCTCAAGGCCAACATTAAAATGTCTTGCTTCCTATCTCCATCTTTAATTGATGGTGGATATTGCTCTTATCCACACACACTCAATTCTCTGCTCTTCACTCCTCAATATTAAGTGCGTGTGAATGTGTATGGAATGTAAAGGCTGCTGTTGTAGCCTTTACAGATTCCATTCTTGGTCTGGCACGAATAAGACAGTTATGGAAGCCTTAAGAGCTTATGGATTAAAAGGAGGATATGTGCCATGAGAGCAAGACAAAACATTAGGAGCTGTTTATTAGCCAATCAGACAGACAATGACCTTAAAGCCCTTCTGTAACACACTATAATGACAAAGGTAGATTATTTTTGCAAGCCTCTCTGCTAGCTTGCTCCATCTGTATTAATCAAGAGGGTGATGGTAAGTATTGCAGCAATTAGGAAGGTGCTGCTGATAAAATTGAGGGTAAATCCTTTTCAAAGAAATGATAAGATAACACTGTTAAGGTATGACTGCATAAGAATGTTTGAACTAGGATATAACTTTTGTGACATGTAAACAAAGGCAAACCTAAAATGAGTGTTGCCAATTAAATGGCTGTCTTTCTGTAATTCTCAGCATCTGTTGTATTCTAAGTGATACATGGCAATAACTGGCCATATACTGTACAAGAGCATTGATACAAATAAACAAATATGTTTAATGCACCATAGTTGAGAATTTATATAAATGCTGTAAATATTTAATACTCTATACGTCAACTTTATTGGTAGATTTGAATCGGCATTTAAAGTGGGAGCATTTTCTCAGTCACCTGTCAGTCTCTCGCAGTGTTGTCTAACAGCTGTCCATCAGCTGCTGACAGCGTGTGGATGGGAGGTGATGAGAGGCAAGCAGACAGATGTGTGGCCACTGAATCACGAGGGTTTTTAGCATCTTTTATCTTCCCTGCCCAGCAATGACTAGAGAGCTAGGAGGAAGTTTAGCACACATCTGTGATGTGTGAAAGCCTGACAGGATCTGCTTGTCCACACAGGCCTAGACTCCACGTGCAGGCCATCAGAAGTTCAAATATTAGTTGACAGCCTAATAAATATTAGGCTTGCATGTATGTGGACAGCTATTCAAAGAAATGACATTAAAATGGCTTTATCTTTTATGCTTTTATAGATCTGGTATAATAAAACAAAACAAATGAACTTTGCATAGCTAGCTTTTGGAATTGACACCTCCATGGTTAAAAAAACACTTCATATAACTTTTGATAGGTGGTGGGTGGGACTAATTTGTGGACCTAATTTTGACAGGTGTTTAGAAAAGCTGGAATAACACCAGAAGGGCTGCAAAAAGGCAGACTGTGTAAAATGTTAGACAATGCACCTTTAAACATGACCCTACCATTGTGAAACATCCAGCTGTACCCTCTAGTCTGCCACAGCAGGTTCCTTTCCTTCTCATTCAGCATCAGACTCTAGTTCATATATGCATCTCTACTGTATATACCCTCTTGCATTTTCAGCTGCAGCCTTTACGTAGGGTAGATATTGACTGTGAGAGTACTTACATTATTGATTATGTTCTATTCAGATCAACTGGAGGTGAACAAGTCATCACCTCTAGCCGCAGGTATACTACTGAGCAGCTGTTTTTGTTGCTTTATAGCGAAAGCCAGAACACTTAGTTTTCCCCAGAGGAGAATGAGGACAAGGAAGAACAGGAGGAAGAGGAGGAGGAGGAATGAATGGACTGAAATGGAGTTTGAGGTATGGATCAGTAGCATTTTGTCATCACTCTTCCCTCAAGGTAAATGTAATGAAAATAAAATATGTGCCATGATCCATAGTTAAATGCTTTGATAAGTCACTGTCTATCTTTTGTGATGCTCCACATTTCATTTATTTTTATTTTGAGAAAAGGACCAAAGCCTTTATGCAATGGTATTATCACCTCCTCGGTGCCCACTGCTACACCCTTTATAGAAATAATCCTAATAGCCCTCTCCTCTGTTTTTCCTTATTTCCCCTGACCCCTCCCTTTCCATTCATTTGGACAGTCCCCTATTCCAAGTTACTTCCACCACAACAGAGACAGCTAAACACACCCTCTTCCCACTCTCAACCTACACATACTCATACACACCCTGAGGGTCAACCCAATAGGTCCATTGCATGTGAGTCATAGCTTTCTCAACTCGCCACCTCAACATGTTTCTTCACCCAGCCTCAGGGGCTAGAACCTGGGCACCGCTCTCTTTGTCTCCTTTGTCCAGTCCAGATAACCTTATGTGTTGGACATGGCAAAGGGAAACCCGCAAATGATAAGTGTGTTTACCATCACTGAGAAGACAATGGGCAGCTCGCCTGCTTCTAGCATCATCTCAGTGTTTCATTCTGAGCCAAAGTGATGTTGAAGTGCTGGCCTCAAGGTAGGCCGAGGCTAACTAGAGTTTGAATGTATCACACCTTTGAGACTTGTAGTGAAGTTAAACACTGAAAGCCATGAAGAAAATGCAGGACACAGCACTGTGCTTGTCTTGTTCTTCATGCCTCAATAACAAGGGAAAAGTGTCATTCTCATATTCATTGAGTGTGAAAATCATATTCAGTGCTGCTTCAAACCCTTTTTATGTTTTCAAAGTGTATTTTGCCCTTCAAGTGGATTATGCACGGGGAGGATATATTATGTTTTCCTATGCTATTGATTCCACGTCTCTGCCCACTCAAGCCTCTCAAGGCCAACATTAAAATGTCTTGCTTCCTATCTCCATCTTTAATTGATGGTGGATATTGCTCTTATCCACACACACTCAATTCTCTGCTCTTCACTCCTCAATATTAAGTGCGTGTGAATGTGTATGGAATGTAAAGGCTGCTGTTGTAGCCTTTACAGATTCCATTCTTGGTCTGGCACGAATAAGACAGTTATGGAAGCCTTAAGAGCTTATGGATTAAAAGGAGGATATGTGCCATGAGAGCAAGACAAAACATTAGGAGCTGTTTATTAGCCAATCAGACAGACAATGACCTTAAAGCCCTTCTGTAACACACTATAATGACAAAGGTAGATTATTTTTGCAAGCCTCTCTGCTAGCTTGCTCCATCTGTATTAATCAAGAGGGTGATGGTAAGTATTGCAGCAATTAGGAAGGTGCTGCTGATAAAATTGAGGGTAAATCCTTTTCAAAGAAATGATAAGATAACACTGTTAAGGTATGACTGCATAAGAGTGTTTGAACTAGGATATAACTTTTGTGACATGTAAACAAAGGCAAACCTAAAATGAGTGTTGCCAATTAAATGGTTGTCTTTCTGTAATTCTCATATAAATGCTGTAAATATTTAATACTGTTTACGTCAACCTTATTGGTAGATTTGAATCGGCATTTAAAGTGGGAGCATTTTCTCAGTCACCTGTCAGTCTCTCGCAGTGTTGTCTAACAGCTGTCCATCAGCTGCTGACAGCGTGTGGATGGGAGGTGATGAGAGGCAAGCAGACAGATGTGTGGCCATTGAATCACGAGGGTTTTTAGCATCTTTTATCTTCCCTGCCCAGCAATGACTAGAGAGCTAGGAGGACGTTTAGCACACATCTGTGATGTGTGAAAGCCTGACAGGATCTGCTTGTCCACACAGGCCTAGACTCCACGTGCAGGCCATCAGAAGTTCAAATATTAGTTGACAGCCTAATAAATATTAGGCTTGCATGTATGTGGACAGCTATTCAAAGAAATGACATTAAAATGGCTTTATCTTTTATGCTTTTATAGATCTGGTATAATAAAACAAAACAAATGAACTTTGCATAGCTAGCTTTTGGAATTGACACCTCCATGGTTAAAAAAAACCCACTTCATATAACTTTTGATAGGTGGTGGGTGGGACTAATTTGTGGACCTAATTTTGACAGGTGTTTAGAAAAGCTGGAATAACACCAGAAGGGCTGCAAAAAGGCAGACTGTGTAAAATGTTAGACAATGCACCTTTAAACATGACCCTACCATTGTGAAACATCCAGCTGT